GGAGGGAGTATATACGAACCAAATGATAACCCAACAACAATTTAACTTCGCCATGTAGTCTTTATTAGTCCTTACTCCTTAGACGGTTTTGATTATACAATTACAAATGTTCGTAAACACATAAGTAATTAGCGTTTAAAAATTAAAATGAACACTTTTGCTGACGGAAAAAATAATAAACAATTGTAATCACATCCATTAAACAGTAGTTCTCAACGGTCAATTTTATAAACGTTACGGAGGCACGATTTACAACGGTAGAAAAAGAGCCGTTGTAAAAAAAAATTTCAAGTTACTTATAAAAGATTTGAGCCACGAACAACACATAAGCCTATTTCAAAAATCCTCTCGTCCTTTGTTTTATCTTTTCACGTTTAAATTTCTTTTTCAAATCTTGAAAATTTCAAGATAGAAAATGTTGATCCAAACTTCTTTTTCAAAAATATTCTCTTTTCAAGGTTATATTTGTTGTTGTTCCATTTTTCTTTGTGATAATGATGAAATTTTGCATAAAAAAATCTTGAAAGCTTCGGATAGGAAATGTTGATCCAAACTTCTTCTTCTACTCTTAATCCGTAAGCAAGAAACAGAGAGTTAGATTCAAAATCTGCTCATGACGACTAAAAGGTTTGATGAATTTATTTTTTTCTTACGAATCATGTTCTTCTCGTTGTAGCACAACCGTTTTGAAATTTAACTTATGATCCAAATGCTCAGTTTTAAACAATCGTAATAAGAAAGATTTAACTTCTTATATGTACTCTCGTGTTGCTCTAAATCGTCTTTGAGAACTTGATCTTTAATGATAATTAAAATAATGAATTGCATGGTTAATTACTCTTTCTAAGTACTTTGTAACAAGTTTCTTGTTTTCTTGTGCTATAAATATTCAATTGTGTTTATAGTCAAAACAGAGTTGAGTGTGCCAATGTTTTTTTTTTTTTAAATAAAAATTATAATAGAGTGTGCCAATGTTATATCGAGTTTAATTCTAGTATGTTATGTTGTCCACTCAACTAAATCAACTTTCTTGTCTTTTCTTGCAAGGATTCACATTCACCGTGAAGAACATTGGCTTAAGGCTCTCAAGGTGTACACGGGTAAGCATTTATAATTTTAGATTGTTGGATTAATCTAAAGATTTAAGTGTTAAATTGCATAATTGTGAAAACCGGTCGAATTTGATATCCTGTCTTTTGATTATTCAGTTGATCGTTAGAGGTATCATAGTTCAACTTGTTTTTGTCTTATAATGTGAAATTAGCACTTAAGTTTATGATTAATTCGATCGTGAATACATGATTTGTAATGTTCTTCCTTAAGCCATACGAACATTCATAGGATTCTCCATCTTTCACCAATTGTATGTAATTTTAGATTACTGGATTAATTAAGATTTACATAATTGTTAAAACCAAACTACTTTGGTATCCTTCACTTGATTGTTTTCACACCTAATGTTTATTTAGTATTCAAGCTTTTGAATATCAAAGTTTCTGATAGTTCACAGTTTATAAAAATATTTGATTAATTTGACAACAGACATATCGTCCTTTCTCACCAACCATGTTAACTTTTTGATTGCTCAAATATTATAAATATACGTTAGATTGCATACTTTGTAAAGTAAAAAACTTCTAAGGTATGTGAATCTACCCTTCTCGCTTATCGGATAATGAACAAGTAGCGATAAAATTCTTGGAGCAATGGTTCGTACATAACTTGTCCTTATAAGTTATTTCTC